GACCATGTCTCATATTTCTATAGAGGAAAAGTTGTTTTGTGATATATATCTTTGTCATTTGATCGCCCAGCCCTACTACCATGTCATTATGTTTAGATTTTGTTGTTTGTTAAATAAGAAGGCGTAGATTCAATTTAATGGCCTCTGTCTGGTACTGGCTTGTATATCTTGCTGTGTGAGGCCTTGAAACAAAAACATGACATACTTAAATACTTTGAAACCTGAAAGTATATTATTAGTAAAATTATCCTCATTACATTTAAATACTTTTCTCTTTTTCAACACTTTTGTCCAATCTACAATGCATTTTGTGTTTTACCTGTATGTTTCATGATTTCAGCCATCTCTGCATTTGCCTCATCCTCAACTAAGTTGACCTTTGCAGCTTTGAGAGTCAGGGCTTTTGCTTTAAATGGATTTAATAAAGAAGACATTATATTATTGTCGTATTTGTCTTCATAGCATATCAATTGTTTTACAAACCAGACAAAGTTTGATTAAAAGAATATATTAAACAGATTAAGATAATAACTGCTTAAAAAGTTGTTTGTACATTGTTAAAGCATCTTCAAGGAACATGTATACAATGACATGAGAGAGAGTCAAAGACACACACTACACCTTTACCTTGGCTGTTTCTTATCTCTGAGCTGTAGTGCAGCAAAGCATCAGTCAGCAGGACAACTCTGTGTGATGGTGTCATTTCCTTAGTCACCTTACCAAAATGGTGTAGGTATGACCACAGTCATTCCAGCTGTTCCCCATCAGCTAAACCTGCACCTTCAACATTCCTACAGCTGTATGAAATCTACAAAACAGAATCAAAACAAAATCAGAAGTTTATCATTTCAATAAGTGATAAACTGCCTAGCATAGCTTTTAACAGTCAAAAAATTATGATGACAACCTGACAAGCAACATCATGTCCATAAGCATGGAATGCAGGAACAGCAAATGTCAGCTTCTTTGTCAGGGGATCTGGATAAAACTTCTGTGGGAAACAGAAATAATAAATTATATACATACATATACAGTACAGTATATGCCTTATATATACATATATGTATAGACTGAGAAGTAGTAGTTTGGCTTATCTAGAATACCTATATAGATATTGGAAGACAAGCAATAAAAGATGCATAAAAAAATTACCTGCAAGTGAGGTTTTAATTTGCAAGCAATATCATACATGAAGACAATTTTTTTGCTTGTCCCAAACTGTTCTTGCAGTTCCTTTAGCAGGTAGACAGCATTCGAAAGGCTAAAAGAAAAAACAGACTTCATATTAAACAGGCCACCATAACACCACATTATTATGTGCAAGTGCAAGCTTAGGATTTACCTTTCACCTCTCTTCAGACTAAGAAAGCGACGTGGATGTTCATGCTTACAGGATATGCCAAAAACACCTGTCTCATCCAATTTGGAGTTCTTCACCTTTGACCTGAGTGCACTACCTGCTTGAAAGCTGACACAACCCTGTAAAAGTTGGTGTATATGTTTTATCCACATTGCTGGCCATACATTACTCTGTCAAATTACACTGCAAACACATTTGTATTATTGGTTATATATAAATATAACTGATATATTGCATACATTTCAAAGAACACATTCATATTTATTCCTGGCTCTTCATCAGTGTCCACACAGTAGGTGTATGATTCCACTTAACATTTTGCATTAACAACGGAGGGCAAGATTTTGCCTCTCCAGTACATTCATGATCACTAATTACGCATATCATTCCATTAGCATGAAAATAACAATCAAAAGTTGATCTGACTTCTCTGCAAGAGAGATGAAATCACTATTTGATCATATGTCCTAAACATACAAGAAATGTAAAGATTAATTTTTCTAGGGTAAATGTGTGAACATAAACTATGGATAAATCCATGTTGCATTAACACTTAGTAGATTTTTACATCCCAGTAATGAAGGAGAAAGATATTAAATACAAATTTATAAACTTTACCTCCTCAGAAGAATGTTGTTTCTCTCCAATAAAAGCATCAACAAGATCTTGAGAGCAAAAGAATCCGTTGAAGTGCTTTGGTCCTTCAAGACTACTTCCAGACGATTTCTTCCTCGGAAGTCTAAATAGTCCATCCGCAGCAAGAACCAGACATCCATCATTCTATAATAAGTGACAGTCAGAGTTAAAGTATGCCATTAGGTATCTGTGACAACTTCCAAACTAAACATAACATTTTTTTTCTTGATCATGAAGCCAGAAAAGCAAATCCAGTTATTGTGCAGTAAGAGTAAATGCTGTGTAGTGGAACATTTGTAATCCAGACCATGATATGCCTGAATGCTGATCTTTCAGATAATATTATTTGACTAGTTGTAATTGTTGTTTAATTAATTGATAATTCATTAATTAATTGTGTTATCATTTCACAAACTATTAATGCTTTAAATACAACATTCCTAATTTTGCACATGAATACATCATACCTCTGGACAGAGAGGACAGTGTGTCCCATCTGTTGTATCAGGTCCAAGATGGCGCATTGTAGACATCTGGTATCTGAAGTGTCTGTATTCCTCAAAGGACTCATTGATGAGTATTCCATAAAGGTCTTGGCACTATAAGGCAAATGATCATAATCACAATAGGACAGTTATAAAAAGGTGTTTTTCAAATTGGAACCTTGCATGTAGGTGATCATGAAAGAGGAATATATTGACAGAAGCTACTAATAAACAAACCTTGGAGGGACCTGAGGAACACTGAATTGCAGCACATATACCCTTCAGTGATGCACCACATTCCAGCTGTAAGCGGCAGATCATGTCCATCAGCTTCAGGGAAATGGCACTTTGAGGTTGCTTCACTGTGGCTGGCCAAAGGCCATAACGTACAAGTGTCGCAACTTCCATCTCACAGTGGCAGAACCGCATCCATACATCATGAGTCCTACCTACAATTCATGACAGAATAGCTGTTAAATGCTGTAGTTTTTAACAACTTTCCTTTTTGTGCAGGGTGGATATGACTGTTTCTGATGTACTGTATTATTTACCTTGCTGATCACACAGTTTTATTTGATGTGCATATGACATGTCACATTGATGGCCATCCTTCCTTGTCCAATGCCACCTAAAGCCTACAGGAACAGTCTGTTGAAATTCACCTTCCTTAAATAGAAAGATCACAATACAAACTTTTTAGTGCACAGTACATTATGAAACAAGAATAAGTGTCCGCTTCACACAGAGTGAAGACATTAAAGTTCATTTTGGCATCATTATCATAAGGTAAGCATTATATACACACTATATTCTGTACTACTCTAGGACAATTTTTTTTAGAAAACTGAAAATACACTGTCAGAGATACAAAAATGCCTTTTGTTTAGACATTTGCAAAATGGAGAAAAGTATTGAATAGCACAAACCTCCCACTTTTCAAGCATATGCACTACAGTAGAGCCTTCGTGAACAGTCTGGACACAGACAGCACAGAAGAATGTTTCACTGCCACAGTCACTGCATCGCATTTCAACATCCTCACTGTTGAGGGAAACTTGACACACTGTGCAGGCTGCAGTGTCAGGAGGACAGAAGAGCTCTGCACTCACACCAAGAAGTGTCTCTCTTGTCCTCCTCTAGGCCTCCACGGTATCCAGCTTCTTCTGGCTGCTGCTGCTCCTGGTACCACTTTCATGCTCCTCTTGTAAGTCCCTGCCAGTAGCTGGTGGTGCAAACGAGCAGCAACCAACCTCAGTGGGTTTTGCGGGCAAAGGGGTCCTCCCTTTCAAAAATCTCCTCAACACCGTTGACTTTCCTTTTGAGGGGTAACTTTTCACAGTGACGAAAGGTCTGATTCTTTTTATTTTCACCATATTCACCTATTCAAATATAAACATAAATAAATAAATGAACAGGATTCATATTGCAACATTACAAAATTACACTGAAACATTATTCTGATTGCAAAATAAGTTGCTGTCTCAGCCATGATGAGCCTGAATCAATACAGAACAATGAAAATTCATCACCATGGCGTCATGTTATGTACTTTATTAATTCATTCAGTTTCATTTCAGATATCTATCACAAATAACGGAACATATTAATGTTCACGTTTGCAACTGTCGCTTTTGTCATGATCATTAATGTTTATCACGTACATAATTCACAAACACTGTACAAACCTGCTAAACCAATGCTCTCTCTTCTTCTTCTTTTCTTCTTCTTCTTTCGTTCCGTGTCTTTTCGGTGGCGCGCCTTAACGGGTTGCTTAGCAACCACTATAAACTATCGCCAGACAAAAAGGAAATAATCTGACTCTTGTTGAAAGAGAAGGCATATATAATAATATTTAATATTGATTGACAAATACAAAGAAAATTTGATGAATGAATTATTACAAACGAAAACAACTTTATTTCTCATAATCGACGGAGATATAATTCAAATTGATGGCCTTAACATGAACCGTCGTATTGTAGAATTATCAAGGACACTCTCGTATTTTTAATTTGAGAAATGTTAAAAAAAAATTTATCTTAAAATGTTGTTTTTCCACTGAAAATAAAAGAAAATGCAGCCATTTTGATTTTTTCCGCAGACAGAAATCTGACAGTCACGTGACTGCTCTGCTCGATAACACACCTTCTGTACCTACTAGTAGGTAGAGTAGGCCCCTACTGGCCCATATCTGTGGGATGATTGTATCAGGATTACACTTATTCAATGGTATGATAACAGTCAAATCGGGTGAAATAATTAAGTTTATTTGTAAAACATAGGTTTGCAAAATCAAGTGTTGTTGTTGACTTTGTGAAAATGTCACATGATGATGGCAAGTTTTTATAAATTTCCATTGTGAAGTCCAGATAAGAGTGCCTGTGGTCAATGAAGCTCCCATTTTAATCAATACTTTCTGTTGTTTCGGTTGTTTCCACACTGATTTAACTGAGACTGTATTCTCTTGTTATTCAAAGTGAAAATGTTTTAACACGGCCACCAGGTTTCTACAGAATGGGCAAACCAATCACTGGCGCTAGATAGGCCCATTTACATTTAGGCGCATTTTACTGCCACTGTAGTTTCTCCTTTGTGCTTGGAGGCGGAGGGTGAAGTGAGGGCATTGTAATCAGCAACTACACCGCTATATGCCACTAAATCCTATACACTGGTCCTTTAAACAATCTCTACACAGTAACATAAATCAGTTAACAAACTGTTTAATGTAATGCATTTTACACAAGTCTTTTCGAGCATGTTATTGCTACTGTAAAACCTGCATATTCCACATAAAGGAACAGTTGAACTGAATATCATATCTTAATTTTCTTTCAATCTGTGTCCTTATGGGCCATGTATCCTCAGATAATGCACAGCTACTGGGGGAGGGATCTGACTGTGGGTGTTGGAGCATATCCGGGAGGAGGGGGTTGGGTCAGGGCTAATGTAGACAAATCCCAATGGGTACGTGTGACACAGAGAGACACACACATACACAAAGACAAAGTGGGTAGGGTAGAAAAGCAGAGAAGTCAGAAGAGGGGGAGGACAAAGGAGGGGAATAGCTAGATAGACACTTATTTGTGGACTACCATACTACTTTACTTTACATAATGTATCTTTATTTTTCCTGAATTAGAAAATAAACTTGACCAAAACGAAACAGGGGTAAAGAAGAGAAGAAGAAGAAATGAAGGACTTGGTGCAGTCAGTAGAACTAGGGGTCTCTCAGCGGAAAGGAGTTAACGTAACTCGACCAAAAGTTTGGCTAAAGAATGAAGTGATTCGTGTGGGACTTGCTGAATCCCTTTGCACATATGTCATGATGGTAAGAAACACAATTCATTCCAAAAGATGTCTAAAGTGCCTTTCACAGCACTTGTTGTAATAATGTGTGATTTAAACTGAAAAAATGCCTCTTATAGTCATCTCTGATGACAATTTTACTTTTCATTTATGAGCTCTTTGTTCTGTTTTGAACGCGCTTATCTGAAACAAACACATGCCATTAATTATTAATGTTATGTTCTTGACCCTGATAGCGTGCCCCCTCTACCAAATACACACACACAAGTGCATTTCACGGTCACATGGCAGGGGTCGTCAGTGGGGATTGGTGGGTTCAAGTGGGTGAACCAGGAAATCTAGTGTTACAGAGGAATGGTCGGGCAGTGAGCCACATGAAGTGGGTTGCAAAAGTCACATGTTATCTGTCAGCTGTTATAATAAACCCTATACTTAGAATTACACACACACAAGCACAGTTGGCACATGCTGAACACGGTATGCAAATAAGCATGTGAACACACACATAGACATTTTGTATAAATCTTGCTGGACTTGTATTGGGAAAACCAGGCTTAATATTAACCTAAATACACACAACGATTGGAAGAGGAACCACATGTTTCCTGTTTCCTGAATGAATAGCTGCAGTTATTCAGTGTCAGCTTTTTTTGCACTGGGACTAAAGTCTTTTTCACTGAGTCAAAAGTTAAATGATAGAGAGCAAATGCTTCAGTTCAGTTTCTGTTACACTTGTACCCATAGTTCAGTTTTAAAAAAACAAAACAAACATCCATTCTACACATTGACTGACACACTGACTTAATTGGCACAACTCAATCTGTTAATTGAATGTCCAATATTTTTTAGCTAATTTACACATCCTGTCTACTGGAATGCCTTCCCTAAATTAGACTGTCTGGAGGTTTCTTGCTGTAATTTGCTTCTCTTTAATAATCATCTGTGCCCGTGCACGGTTGTGCTTCTCTCTGTGTCCAGGTGTTTGGCCTGGGGTCTGTGGCCCAGGTAGTGACAGGACAGGGAGCGTTCGGAGAGTACCTCAGCATCAACCTGGGTTTTGGACTGGGTGTTGCAATGGGGGTTCATGTTGGAGGGAAGGTCTCAGGTATGTGAGCTGACCCTTACTAACCCCTACATCAAGAATCCTTCAGAGTCACCGCCAATCACCATAATCTGACACATATTTCTCATGCTTTATTGCTCTGTCAGGGGCTCATATGAATGCGGCAGTGTCGCTCACAATGTGCGCGTTTGGTCGCCTTGCATGGAAGATGCTGCCTGTGTATGTTTTTGCACAGCTATTGGGGTCATTTCTGGCAGCGGGGACAATTTATGCTGTCTATTACGGTAAGTGCACGCTATATCTTTGCCGGTATATCATTGCACAAAAGTATCTGTCTTTTCAATACTGTTTCTATTATGCAGAAGCCATTTATGACTATTGTGGAGGAAACCTGACTGTGACTGGTGTAAAGGCCACAGCTGGTATCTTTGCCACCTATCCTGCACCGTACCTCTCCTTGCTGGCTGGATTCATTGACCAGGTAGCCATGAAACCGGATTAAAGGATTACAGCTACAAATCTGACACATTCTGCACCAACCATTTTCTTTGTTATTTTGTTTTACACGCAGCTATCATAACATATGTGTCTGTGTGATGTTTGTGCTGTGTGTGCGCCAGGTGTTTGGCACAGCTATGCTGCTGCTGTGCCTGATGGCTCTGTCCGACCAGAAGAACAAACCGGCCGCAGCGGGCAGTGAGCCTGTTGCAGTGGGTCTCCTAGTGCTGCTCATTGGCATTTCCCTGGGCAGCAACAGTGGCTATGCCATCAACCCCACCAGAGACATCGCACCTAGGATCTTCACTGCTATAGCAGGCTGGGGGTCCGATGTGTTCAGGTATACACAGGAAGGATGTATTGATTTGGTCAGGATCTGCTGTTGCTACGTGTCACCAGGGGTCAGTCGAAGGCAAAACATCTCTTAATTTTTAAATGACCTGTGTAGTTTTTGCACGCACATTTAGAGGGTATGACTAATCGTTTTCTTTTTTGATCTATACCTCTCTAATTTTTGGTTCACACTTATCTGTCTTTATCTGTGTAGGGTTGGAAATGGGTGGTGGTGGGTGCCTCTGGCTGCACCTCCCATTGGTGGAGTATTGGGTGCGGGGCTCTACAAGGCCTTGGTGGAAATGCACCACCCACCCCTCTCTGAACAGGGTGAGGGGCTGCTGAAGGAGGAGACTGCCCCTTTGAGGAAACAAGAAAACATCTGTGCTAATGTATGTGTTTGAGCCACTCAACTATATACAGTGTATCCCTTGTAAAGCTATGAGGGTATCTATATGCAGCTAAAGCATTCCATGATGATGAAGGCTAAAAAGATAGACCAAAACAAATTGCTGCGATGGGGGACAGAAAGAGAGACTTCCTGAAATATTACTTTGAATATCTCTTAAAATTTTAAAATGAGTCTGTTTTATGTAATTCATTTCATTATCAACCTTAGTTATTCAGCTACTGTTTCTGTGCTTGTGAGGGGCTCCAACACATAAAATACACATTATTAGATATTTTTAACCATTATGTGGACATCTATGGGTTATTGTTGCTGCCCATACCACATGTAGTTATTGCTACATGTGACCAAAAGGAGCCATTTTTATGCATTATGAATGAAAAAAAACACACACACACACACACACACTGGCCATTTTATGTTTATATTAACAGCATTAACAGCTGATATAACCTTGGAAGACATCATAAAAACAGAGAGTATGTAAAGAAAAGTAAATACCCCCCCACCCATACAGTGCACTAAAATAAACATGTAGCTATTAGAAAATAAAATAGGAACAGTAGGAGTTGGCTCCTCACAGCTTGAAAGGGCAGCAGCACAATAAGACATAATATACACATTTATCTTTCCAACAATCTAGTGCACAGCACCCTAAAGCTAAAAAGTGTAAATGTTCCTTGCTTCACTATGTAAGGGCTCCAAAGTACTTGAACCAAAAACCTAATTCTATATGTTTATTAGGTCTACTGAGCAGTATACTTGGCATTATGACCACTAAATGGATAAAGCTCCAAAATGCTGGAATATAACCTCCTCACATCAGTTCATTGATAAGTCATCAGAGCAGATGTCATTGCACAAAAATCACTAGTCATTTTTATGTTTGTGAAGTTTACAGAGGAACATAGCATCAGTGAGACACTGCAGTGATGTGATGGCCAGTGAGTAACTTACATTACTGAAGACTATAGCTTGATGGTTTATTGCTAGTCTTTGATAATGCAACATGGAACATTTAATTTTTTGCATTTGCATGCAATCTAAAGCGATGTAATGTTTGATACAGAAGCTCTGAACATTTTCAGTGAGTCATGTGATCAGTTTCTGTCTGTAGAATCATGTGATCAGTTTTAAATTGTAGATACAAGTCTTCAGTCATACAAGCACTTTATTGACCAACTGAAACCTACACAGTATTATGTTCATTCTTCCTGTTTCCTCAATTTTACAGTCACATAAACATAAAGTTATTTACTTTTTCGTGTACTTGTAAAATGCATAATATATATATATATATATAAAAATTGTTGTATGATTCAAAATTGAAATGTGTACAGTGGCAAACCAAGCCTAGTGACAACAATTACAGATATAAACTGATGATGACTGTGTCCTTATTGAGTATTAGTACAGTTTGTTACTACATGTCTGTATTATTTGTGGTATGTCAGCAGCACATAATCATATTTTATGAATTTACTGGTTTGGATTATTTTGACCACTAAGCGGTGCTAGTGAACACTGTGTTACATGAGGCTTACAATAATAACTATATTAGTGATGCAATTGGCTGAAAAGCATCGGTGCTTCTAATTTCTCCGTCACTAGCGCTCAGCAGTGTAAGATAAACAAAAATACGATGATCAGGATTGTCACGATCAAATCAAATGTTTTCTTTTAAAACCACCTGAGCCAGGTTATGGGGGAATTAGGGCTCATGAAACCTGGACCCCAGTAAGAAAAACAATAAACATAAAAACAAGGTTGGAAAAACCTTTTTACATGCCACTTTGCCTCCACCAGCTGGTACCACTTGCCTGGTTAACCCTGGTTATGGATCTATTTAGATATGCAGCATTCCAAACGTTTCAGATAACATGCTCTCACGGAGCACAGAGATGTGTTAACACTAAGTCCAACCAATTTCGAAATAACAGACTGCTCCTCTTAGCTATGCTGGTTGTGCAGACAGTGGAGTTGGTTGAAATGTTTTCCTTTGACTGGAATGTTCTCACCGCTTTGCCCCAATTTGTCTTCCTGTGCTCACACCCTGGGTCTTGGCAGTGCTCCCCAAGCTGCTCTGTGCCGACTGCTTCTTCTTGGGGGCGGGTACCTTGGCCTTGCCTTTGAAGGCCTTTATAGGATCCAGCTTGTTGAGATGGGAATCTCCAGCGGGATCAGCCAAGCTGAGCTCACTGCTGAAAGTCAGTGGTTGGTACAGTGATGCCCACTGCTGTTGAGGGAACAGGAGGAACAGTATATAGTTTACAATACTGTTTATAGTAAACTAAAAAATAATAATGTCCAATAGAAACTGAATGTAACCATAGGGAAATTGAAGAAATTGAAAAATCCTGCTTCAAGGTTGAGGAAAAACATGTTTATGGTTTGTGTAAGTGTCATCCTATTAAAGTGTTAAAGTTCCCAAATTGTAGAAAGTGAGATTTTTTAATTTATTATAAAGCGGTGTAGGAGATAGTTAAATACTGTAAGTATCAAAATGCTCAATCCATGGATGAAAGCACAAGTATTCAGAAACTGTGCCTTTAAACCAACTGTCAGAACTTCCATAAAGTTGTGATGTCACAACTATACAGTCACCGCCCTCAGCCATGCTACCAGCACGCCCACTGATACCCACTATCCGGGGCATAATATTACAAAGCCTACAACATAATTAAATACATTTTAACTAAACATGGTTTAGTCAATTCTGAAAGAGAATATTGTCTAAAAGTACTGCAGTAACTGAAAGTTTGGCAGATGCCATTTAAACCACAACATATGGTCTTTGAAATCAGACACTCTGCTACCTTGGCCTGGGGACTTGGGCCATATGGGGTGAAGACATACTGCCACTCAGGCAGACCCAGGTGCGTTATCATCAGTCGGTAGTAGGAGGTGAAAGTTGCTGTCAGAAAATGCCAGCACAGTGAGCGGTCGAGGAACCAAATTTCACTCTTCTGGGCTACAACACCTGGGAAATAAAAGGACCAACTGAATGATCGATAGGTAATATTTATGTCTTAATAATAGTTTTTTGTTTAACATAGAGGTTTAGAGAAATGATAACAAGGTGCAATTTGTGAATACAAACAGAACCTGCAGTGCAGTTTTTGTAGACTAGGCACACTTTGCCATTCCCACCACAGGAATCCAGCTCAAAGATACGGCTCCGGGAATCAAAATGGGGTGCAGCGGGAGCATGCCCCGTCCCTGGCAGATAACATTAATGAATCTTGAATAAATATTTACTTTCCAATCAACATTTCATTCATTAGCTTGCTTTATGCACAGCTGAGCACACAAACAGACTTAATGAAACTTGACATGCTGTAATTGTTGAGTTAAGCCCACATAAGGATCTGACAGGTGAGGTTTACCACTTTCTGTGTTGTTCTCCTCCCAGTCCAGATCAACCAGTGAGGGTGCATTGGGTAG